ATGAAAAACGAGGTTTGTCCCCCCCAAAAAAAAAAAAAAAAAAAGGAAACATTTTTAAGTATAAAAATGATGAGCCATATCTAGTACAGACTGTAAAATGATTATAACTGAATGTGGTACAGTTTTCAGTAGCTTTACTCTATGTTCTTTTTATGTCAGGGTGCCCACAAATTTTAATTCCATACAATATAACATTTTCATAATTGTAATACTGTATTATTATTATTTATTATTATGGTTAATGGATTTTTATAATAAGCATGTGTATTTATAATGTCATGTTTCCCAAAGTCAAATAATATTTAACAATCTACAAGCACCAAGTTTTCCAGGACTTCAGTGACCATGTTATAAGCGGTTAGTGTTAAGTACCTTGGCATCAATGAAATGATTTTGACTCATTTGCACGGTCACATCAGCATTCTCAGCTTGTCGCTCAGAGCCCAGACGTCCTACGGCCGAGCCAGATGTGCTCACTCTTTCTCCGTACGTTTTAACTGATGAAAATTTCCTGGAGGGAAATAAACATGATGTCACTATAGACAGAGGACACTCGAGGAAAGTGGGATATTGGGGGTGCATTGAGCAATGCTGTCTCTGTGTTATGACAGACTGTATATAAATGAACATGACAGCTCCCAGAAGTGAAGCCACCACAAGCTGGTGGACGGTTGCAGTATACTTCATAAACCCTACCCCCTCCATGTGATGGGACATGAGGAAGATTAAAAATGCAAAGCACAAATCAAACAATAGGTTTGTTCTTAATAAGTTAATAATAATTTGATTATGTAAAAAGGGGGGTATTTTGGACGACAGAGCTTTGATTGGTTGACCTGATACCATAGTTTCACCTCTAGTCACTACTGAACAGAAGTTGGTTGAAAATTGCATCACAAAAGCAAGATGGCCGCCCCCGTATTGACGATATTTTGGCTTCACTTTTGCATAGTGGCAGAAGTGTTGACACGCCATCCATCTGTATACATGGTCTATGGCTCAGACCTACTGAGCACCTGTTTTTGCCTCTGCAGACAAGGATGAAAGCGCAGATGATGATGCAGATCAGAGCGATGCAGACTCCCACAGCGATCCCGGTCATTGACTTCTGGTCGAGGTGGTAGAAACCATCAGAAAAGGCTGTGAAACATGAAAGCGGCACCGTCAGATTACTGTGAACCGTGTGGTCGCTATATTTCAGTGTGAAAAAAAGAGCAAAGTGATTCTGTCACTGACTTGTGGTGTGTGCGGAGCCATGGGAGAGCCGTGGATCGTGACCAGAAGAAAGGTCTGCTCGTACCGTCAACTCCACCGTGTGAGAGAACGGCCCGTCACCCATTTCGTTGGATGCAGAAATTTTCACCAAGTAAACCTCCCCAGGCTTCAGGTTCTCCAGCAGCGCCATGGTGATGCTCCCTGTTTGTGAGATTTAATATGTTGCTGTCTTTTTTTTTTTGACTTTTCAGTCTGACCATCATTCAGCTGACCTATTAAGAGCATAAACTGTGCTGTTGTGAAAGATGAACAAAACAAACAAAAAAATCCTTGTAGCTGTGAGGTAGTATGGGAGATCAGAGCTAAAGGCATTTCCTTGGCCATTACCACCCAGGTTCCTCACTGTTGGGGCTGGGTGTTCAGACTGAGGTGACTGGGGCCTGGCCTGAGATGGGGGGGCTTAATGAAGGCCTTCACTTTTAAAACTAGTGGCAGAGGGAGAATTGTGAGTCTTTTTGGTTTTCCTGAGGTCATCTGCTGTCACAACCCACATACAACTACAGCTTTACATTTACTAATGCTTGTTACCAAGAACAATGTTTGCTTTACACACATTTAGTTTGGTTAGTGGATACTGCATGACTCATTTAGGCTATTTGGATAGGTTTATTTTCTAAGCTCATCAAATAACTATTTCTTTTTGCCTTAATCATATCCAACATGAATCACTGTTACCTTACACTACGTTTAACTAAAAAACTACTGTTCAAATTTAAAGACAAAAATGTCTCCCAGATGACTGCTGCAATGTGTTCATAGTCAACTGCTGTACATTTAAACCTGCACATCACATGTCTGCTGTAAAAGAGACAAACACATTTCAAAACATCTTCCATCCATGACACAGCTGTAGACACAGTTTGCCTAAATTAAAGAAACTGTTATAGTGACTAGAAGCTCTGTACAGTTACACAGTATATGGAGTTCCTCGATGATGAAAACTAAATCCCATGTGGTTCAAAATGGTCTGTGTGAAAAGAGCCAGTAAGAAGGTAAATCAGTCTGTGTTGTAATTACATTAAACCTCCAAAGTGGTCTTGAACCTGCAAGATGAAAGCAGTGCACTGGCACCATTCAGCGATCACAGCAGCAAAATGAGTTTACCGATTTGTCTGGGACTGGAGAATGGTGTTCTCTCCCTCTCTCCTGTGCACTTGTATAAGCTCTCTCTATGCATCTCGTCCCAGTTCTTACCTTCTCTTAGCAGTTCTTGCCATTTCCCAGCAATCCAGGCCTTTCTGGAGGCATACAGGATCGTGTAATGTGTCACAGCTACATTGGGTTCATCTGGGGGCTTCCATGAAACCAGCGCTGTGTCGTCCTCAATCAGAGTCACTTTCACGTTGGAAGGCGGCAGTGTGGGAGCTGTGTGTGGTGGATGAAAAGAACAAGGTCAAATAAAAATGCAATGGACACTATAATAAAATGTGTCTTTTCATAACGCTGAGCAACTTTCACATGTGAAATTCATGCTCATGATTAAAGAAATGATATACATTTTCCCCCACAGACAATAAGTGAAATATTTTTGTGTTCACCTTGAGGGAAAGTGCTCTGATAGACCACAGGGCTCCATGGGCTGGACAGCTGGTCAATGTGAAGGCGAACAGCAAATTCATACTTGGTATTGGGCTGCAGATCTTGCACCAGGAGGCGCTGCTCACTTCTGCAGAATAGAGACATAACACACAGATGTTGTCTTTTTTGAAACATTATGATGTGCTGACTCTTGATATTTCTCAGCTCTTCCTAAGTTTCACTGGGTTTTAGATGGACTGTCCCTTTAATAATGGCCAGCAGATGGTGACATGGAGCTGTGCTGTCTGTGCTGGAAAGAGACAACACAGAGGCATCGGTGACCTGCAAACTTTCCCAAGCAAGTGTGAGGAACATATTCATGTTCTTAAGTATTGTAAAGAAACAGTATAGGTGACTTTAGGTTAAGATAACCAACTGCTACTAAGATGTCACATTACTGTTAGCAACATAACATGGTGTCAAGTGAAGCACTGAACTATGGCAACTACTCATCATGCAGTAAGCTACACATAACACACAGTTAACATGTGTTATACATCTGGTTTCACTTTCTCCCTCTTCTCAAGACAGGAAAGCAACAAACAGAGGTCTCCATAAACGTATTAAAGGTGAACTAATCGATTTTATAGTTCATCAGATAATCAGAAACATGACTCGGTGTCGACTGGACGTGTTATCAGACAAGAATGTCAGCCAAAATATGTTTCTTCAGCATGGGCACAAAAACAAATTAAAGCTGCTCTAAATGGAAAGTTGGATTATGAAGTTCTTACGTTTGCAGGTACAGGACCAGGGAGGCGTTCTGCAGGCCTATGGGGTTGCAGCGGATGGTGTAGTTGACTGCATGGCTGGAGGTGAAGATCGGTCGGCCCCAGTGCAGAAACACAGCAGTCGAACTGTTGGTCTTGGCATATACATTGTGTGGAGGAGGTGGAGGGGGTACCAGGCGATCTCGAACAGCTGAGATGTATGGAGATTAATATTATTTTTCCCCACTCTGATTTACAGAAAATAAAAACGACACCAAATTGCTTTAGAGGCACTGAAAACAATTTATAATAAAGTATACTGTGGGACTTACAGACACATCCAGGGGTGCTGATAGTCTGGTCTGCCTGGTAGCCATCTCCAACAAAATTATAGGCCAGAAGTTTAACGTGGTACTTCTTCCTTGGGTCTTCATGAAGAAAAGGAGAGAACCCAAAGTGTGTAACTAAACCACATCAATATAAAAAGCATCCAAACTACATCAGTATATCTGGACTTCAGGAAACACACTGATATTATTATCATCACTTTACATTCAATGTGAAAATTCAACATGGGCCAGATGACCGTGTGTGTGGGGTCAGTTAGGTTTTTTTTTGGTTTGATGGGGTGGTGGGAAAGAGAGGTGAGGAAGTACGACAGATGTTCAGTTGGTCAGTTTCTGCAGCAGAATAGAAGAGCTCCACTATCCATCAACCTGTCACCCCGACTCTTTGGACTGCAAATAAGAAGACCCTTTCTCTGGCCCCTGCTGGTCAGTGGTCACTCCCATTCAGGTTCAGAATCTGGGGCTTAAATTGATGGACAAACTCCCCTGGGAAGGGTGTCGCTGACCATCAGCAGCAGTTGCAGGCACACTGACCCTAAAGACCCTCTCCTGAACAAAAGCCATTTGACCAAATGTCCCTTTTACCCCTAAGAATAATGATCGGGGTCAATTTTAAATGCTGCATGCAATATCAATATTGTGAGTCCTATCACTCTTATAGACAGCAAATCTAAAGTGATCCACAACCTCTAAACAATTTCTAAATACAGTCAAAAAATAATAAGTTTCTAAAATGCCTGGTCCCAGTTTGGTGGGAGGCACAAGACCATCAAGATGAAAATCAATTTGCTTGACAACATAACATTTTCTGATCTCAAAGTGTCTGTCAGAAGGTTTTACATAGATGGTACCACCTTTTCATTAGAAACTTAATTTATGTGTTAACTCTGAAATGTTTCTTTATATTACTCAGTGAACATTAGCTGTAAACTGACAAAATATTGGACTACAGATGCAAAACTTCCTGCAGGCATGTTGGCTATGGAAACACATACAGAAATGTTTAGCTCTAATATGAATACCTATGCAAATTAACACAAAATAAATGACTGTTTTTACAGTTGTGTCTTGTCCTGCTAAAAACTGCCTAAGCAGTGTGAGACATTTGGAGGAATGGAGAGAAGAGAGAGACCACACGGGATGAATTTGTGGCCATGGAGGTTAGAGAAGTTTAGAAGGGGTGGAGTCAAGCTCCTTGCACCCCCATGCAGCCCTGAGGAGTTTCACTGGAGCCAGACCAGGGCCAGCAGGTCAGGCCAAGATAAAACTGAAAGAATCTGGGGTCATGGGTGTGGAATATGAGATGAGCCTCACTGGCTACAACTACATCACTTTTTGAAGTGACAGTAAAGAGCAGGAGAAAAACACCGACATACCACTCACTAATAAAAACGGCAGCATGACTTTCTGCAAGAATTCTTTGTGCAGAGCAGATGCATGTTTACTATGCTCACCATGTCCGAGCAGAGAAATGATCATCAGGAAAAGAAGCAGCTCTTCTTCATATAGTTCTGTTTCTTGTTGCAATAGGTACATACAAACAGAAGGCCTGTTACCTAAGTTTCTGGGTAGTTTGCCTCAGTCCACCTCTAGAGACAGACAGGCATGTAAGTTTGCACCTCTACCCAGCCCCACAATACAATGGGCCTGCCATAATTATGTGGGAGAGGAGCTCTGAGAGGGGGGAAGCTGTGACATCTGGGCCATGACCTTTGACATGGAATCTGGGCAAGCTAAATCCTGTAAAGCGAGGACTTGCAGCACTCTGAAGGGGAGGGTCAAGCAGAGGAAGTGAGTGGAAAAGCAGGAAACACCCAAAGTCAAAATAAAATGCCACTTAAGTGGCGACAGTGCTCTGATAAGAGAAGACTCAGCACAAGGGCTTAGGGTTTCACCTAGAGTGGAGGAGACACTTGAGGCTCATGATGTGACCAGAACCAGTAGTCTTTATATCCTGTTGTGTCCACAGCAGCAAACTGAGAAACAACCAGGATGTTACTCATTCATCCTTAACATGCATACATCAGAGAGAATGAACTATAAAATCAGTCAAACACACTGTTCTTCTTTAAGATCCTGATATTACAGCTGTGACTAACAGTTATTTGTACTAATATATTTACTTTTGTTCCCCCATTAATCAACAAAATTTGTGAAAAAAAGCCCGCCATGGATCCTCAGAGCCAGTTTTTAAATGTCTCGTTTTACCCAACAAACTGTTCCAAGCTGAATGATATTCAATTTACAGTGATAAAAACATGGAAAATCTGCAAATCATCACATTTAAGAGGCTGGAAATGCTAATATTTGGCATTTTTGCTTGATTAAAGACCAAAATTGACCATTACATTTTTTAACTAATTAGCTAAATATTTGGATGCTACCATATGTAGCACCAGACACAGAACTAGAGATAGAAAATATAAATGTAGATGCATTACTACACACTGCATTCTAAGAGTGCTGCATTCTGCTTTAGATGCCCTTCCTTGAGTGAATTCATTTCCCTGTCCTTCCCACTGGGATGAATTTCACATGGTCTTCACATTAGCCACTTGTGGTCAACCCTGTTTCTTTACAGCCAAAATACAGATCCTGTTGACCCCTGAGGTTTTGTTCTACTCTGTGAAAGACCCCCACAGGTCCAGCAAGCCAGGCTTGGGGGTGGGGGGTGAGAGTCCCTGAACAGGGGCCATTAAATGTCAGCTCCCACATAAACCCTCACACCAGTGTCTATCATCTCTCTCTCTCCTCCCACTCTTTTCATCTGCTTCCCACAAATCAACACATGACACATACAAATTAAACACAAAATAAAACACAAATCTAGCTTTGCCTTGTGTTTATTAAAGGAGTGGGGAAGATGCATGCAGCTGTGAGATAAATCTTCAGCTGTGCACACAGAGCTCCCGGGTGCCAACAGGTATGACAGGCATTTAAACCTAGATTATGACTACATGTTCTGTTCATGGGCCAAGCAGGGAATACACACACGAGGAAAGGTCACATCACTGTCATTTATACCCAAATGGAGCCTCTCAACCACGCTGCTGTTTGTTTTTCAGGATGTGCCTTCAGTCGTTTGGATTGTCATAAGTGATAATACAACAGCGTTCTGCAGCTGAAAACAGAGCAGAATTAGCAGCATCCAGGATCTCCAGTTTGTTATTGGCACAGGAAGGGATGGCTGCTGTGTACAACATTATAGGAAATTGCATTTACATATAGGCAGATTTAATTTGCACAGATCACCTGCTGAGAAAAATCAACATTCAGCATTTGGTAGTCTCAAGGACAAAAATCGTTGCATCTGTGGCCTCAAATCATTACTTCAATATGCAATTCAATGTCTCCTCAGAAGTAATCTGTCAAAATATTTTCTACACTGGGGAAGAAGACTAAAATATTTGCAACACAACAGCTGAAGCCCAAAAGTGGAGGAAAAGTGAAGCAACTCCCCACAGGATTACCTTGTTCTGCTCATTGATGCTATGTCACTGTTACAGTACAAGAGAGAAGTGTGAATAATTCAAAGCTATGTCCACTCTCGCTCCATCAGGTCAGGTGCTCCTTTGTAAGTCAGTATCAACATTACATCAGTCATTATTTGATGAGAATGGCTTGTAGTAATATAGACTGAAGCAGAGACAGGCTACATCAATCCCCTCATGTGTTGCCATTGTGGATACAGAACAGTTGCGTTGCTCCGCATGTGTGGGACAGATTTTCAGAAAAACTTCTTTCAACTCATCACCTGCTTAGATGTAAACAACACATCCTTCTTCTTCCACAAGAGAAGTGAAACTTCAGCAATAAATTGGACACACATTAATTCATAACACTGCTTTTACTGTCTTGATTGTTCTGGTATGACCAGCGGTTTATATTGTCCCATACTGTATGTGAGTTAGTGAGTTCACTGACTTTATGACTCTTCTCCATTTGTGCTACTTTGTTGTCTCAGTATTTAGCACTGATTTATATCAGCATCACCTGTAAATATGCTTACAGTACCCATTTACATTTCCTGATATTCAATTATTTAAAAGCTGCTTTCAATTCATTGGAAATTTAGATTTTTTTTTTTTTTTTTTTTTTTACTTCCTCTTGCATGAATTATGCTCTGTCAACAAATCTGCACAAGTTAAAAAGCTATGTCCTGAAGAAGGAAGTGATAATTGATTGAGTCAGATTCCTCATATCACAGCAGGAGAGATCAGATACTTCACACAGTGTGGCAGCTAATTCATGAGAAAGGAATCTCAGAACTTTAGAGATAGTGAGCTCACAAGACGTGCTCATTGTTTGGCCTACAACTCAGTGGGTGACAGCCTGCACTTCCTTTAAGTCTTGGCTAATAAACTGTCTTTGTGGCTCTCAAAGCCAAACACAGTGAGAGTCTTTGAAGTCAATGCTCCTCCAGCAACACTGCTCAAAGCCATAAAACACATAATAAATCAGCCTCCACAAAACAGCTTTCCTCTCTTCAAAACACAGCCCTGCAAAGCTGCTTTATCAAAAAGGAAAAAAGATAAACCTTTTTATTCAGATGAATCTCAAGTTTTGACTGTTGCTAATTGGCTTAATATTTATCAGCAGCTGTGACTGTATCTTTCTCTTCCAAGGAGAAAATTTATTCAAACAGAACAATCTGATTAATCAAGGAAATCCATGAATAAAACATGCACACCAATACAACCATTATGACAGTAAAATCAAACTAGGTGGAAGGGTTTAAATGAATAAAGCACTAATTAAACAAATTTAGTGGAATATCTTTCTGACAACCATCAGAGGTTGTCTTTAAACTGGCCTTTGGAGTTCATATGAAGCAGTTTAGTAGTTGTGACTGTATCAGTAATGTTCATTATTATTACTGTGACAGTAAAAATAACAGTAGGCGTCATAGATTTCATAGTAGGTGTATTAATAGCATTAATAGTAGCAGTGTGTAAATAACTGATCCACACATAACTACCTAAATTCCTGCAGCAGTTAGAGTTAACACCTCTGCTAATTTATAGCGCCTACTTGACTTTCTTTCTTTCTGATCCTGCACCGAGCTTCATGATTTACAAGTCAGCTGCCGACCACCTGGTTGACCCCCCTCTAGCCCCAGATGGTCAGTTGTCCACTGCACTGGCCTGAGCCCCCGTTCCATTCCCAAACAAAAAAAGCCAAAATGAATCTGACCTAAAGGCCAAGAGAGCTGCGATATGCCTCAAACACCACCCAGCAGCTGCTGAAAAGACACACACAAAGGGTGGGAGGTCATGGAAGTGGGCCGTGGTGCTGTTCCATGCCTAATGAACCTCTGCCAGACCCATGACAAGACTTAAGCTAATTAATGGATCAGTATCAATAGATGTGACTGTTGCTGGTTTTAACCAAATCTTTCCACCATGACTTTGTGAACCTGACTAATTTAATTGTCTGCAAGTTAAATTTAAAAATCTTTGCGAGTCACCTGCAGAAATGTGAAGGTGTGTGCTTAAATCTTTCTATGGCATCGTTTCTCTTTTTGCTCATCTTCACATACTTAAACATGTGAACAACACCCTTCCAGCCGCCTAATGACCCACTGTCATCCATCTCTAACACTAAGATATATTAAATGCAATCACTTATGCTAGTAAGGCCAGTAATTCTGCCAATTTACTGTAGGAGTAACTATAATTTCTGTCAATGTACAGTTGTTTACCTTCGTAACACAAAACTGTGTACAATTAAAGTTGTATTATCTTAATAAAGCTGTTTTGTGCACCCAGGCAGGAAGATCAGGAACCGGTAGAATAAATATGAAGCCTCTGTCATTTGCTGCCATTGACCACTGGTGTTCACAGATAGACCATAATAATACTGTATAAAATATACTGCATACCAGGTACCACAGAGGCAGGCAGGAGGAAACTCAAATTAATCTAAACTCACCGAGGCCTCCGATGGTGTGCGTGTTATACGAGGAGCGCAGATGAACTGGGGCGCTCTCAGACTGGCTCTCCTCATGGTAGAAGAGTCTGTAGCCCTGCACGCCGGCTGAGTTTCTGGATGCCAGCTGCCAGCGCACCAAAATAGTGGTGCAGTTTAAAGGCTCCAAATGCAGCTCAGGAGCCAGAGGAACTGTAAAGAAAGGATTCAGAAAAATGTGCAATATACATATATAAGATAGCTTTACAATCATTTGTAACCTTTTCAGGTTCATGATGACAAAAACACTCTAGTTAAAGGTCAAATCAAAATGTTGCTCTGTGAGTCAAAATACAGTGCCACAGTTTTTCATTTTCATGCTGTGCTGCAGCAAACATAGTATTTCCTGGCTGTAATTCAAATCAAACAGGGCTTCAAAGCCATTGTTCCCGATATTTATACCACATGACTAAAGTTTTTCAGAAAACAGATACTTGTTCCATCCACTAAGCTGTTTCCATTGTTTATCTGAATGACAGAGGAGCTCCCTGACCAGGTTTGAAAAGTGAAACTATCACCTGATGCCTCACCAGCTGTTTCACACTTAGTGCACACCAGAAACAACTATACCAACATTCAAAGGAGGATTTTCACACATTCCCAAGTTTACTAATTTAAAAAATAAAAAAATCCCCTGTCTGAATTTAAACTGGATGCTGGTGCATCCCAGTTTCCTTATGTAAGGAAAACACACAAGTGAGCTAAACATGAATTCAAATAGGGAACTAAGATGCGTTCAGGGCAGTAGAGATGGGCAGGAAAAACAAACCCGGCCACCCCCACCTCAAAGCTTCAGATGTTGCTCTAAACAGCCCTATACCCTTTCCTACCCAGAGGCCTGAGTGGCTCCCTTTATGACCCATGACTGAAGCCCTTCCAATGTTACTGACAGTAAAGGGCAAAGGTCACAGTGTCAAAAAACAATGTCTTACCAGATTATTAGAGCAAGGGCTTCTTTTTGCTCAGTCTCATACAGACAGGTAACAAATAAAAAGAAAAACCTGAGTAAATGAGTGCCCTCATCCATAGCGCACGAGGGGTCACTAAATGGTTTGATGAGTATGAAAATGATCTAAATCACCAGATCTCAACCTAGTTGAACACCTATGGGAGATTTTGGAGCAACGTGTTGGACAGGATTTCCATCACCAAAACACCACATGAAGGGAATATCTTTTTGGAGAATGGTGTTTATCCCTCCAGAGTTCAGAGACTTGGAGAGTCAATGCCAAAGGAAACTGGTTTAGATCTGGTGGCCCAACACCTTACTGAGACACTTCATGTTGGTTTATCCTTTCATTTGTCACCTGTATGCAGTTTAAACTAAACTAGTAGTTCAGTAATAATTCAGATTTTTGGGTCAACTTCCTTAACTTTTGCAAAACACGCTGACATTTCAAAAATTATGAACTCTTCCTAATATTGTACCTTGAGCACTGGATGCCTTCGGAGTGCGATGGGATGTCCAGGCAGACTGCTCACCCCACCCTACGCTGGTGGCAGCAACAATACGCAGAAGGTAGATGGTGTCAGGCTGCAAGTTTTCCAGTAAATGCCGAGTCTTCTCTCCAGGTAGCTCTATCTGTGAGACTGTATTCTCATCACCGGTGCGATAGGACAAACGGTAGGCTGAGACACGGCCGCGACTCAGCTTGTCTGGGAGCGGCTGGCCAGACACCTGGGGGGCTGGGGGGTGAGGCTGAGCTCGGGGGCGCGGAGGGGAACTGTGGACAGATAAGACAGGAAGGTTAAGACCAAAAGAAGTCCATCATCATGCAGTAAAACTAAGGTGATTTATCAAACCCTTAAAAAAATAAATAAATACTAACACATATGTAAGCCAAAGAAAAGAGATTAACATAGTGCACCAGTCAAAGGTGAAGAAGTTTAGATACAAACAAGGTCTGGGCAATAAGAAGATATAAATCTGCTTCCCATTTACACCAAACTTATTCCACTAATATCTGGCTGTATTAGACCACTGTGGACAATTGTGGAAATGAATGAGCAACACTGTATTTATTGTTTTTTATAATTTTTGTATCAATGTAATAAACACCTTGACTGATTGTGCATTTCATTTGGTGAATATTCCTGTCAAACATTTACAACCAATTTTCCAGGAAATGTACCACATCACGATGTACTGATATAAAAGTACACATAGTACCAAACAGGATTTTCCTCCACCCTAATGCAAACTGACCCTAGTGAGAAAATCATGATGGTTGCAGTTTAGCACAGAAACAGCCATAAAATTTACTAGCCTCTGAATATGACATAGCATAAATATACACATGACCACCATTTACTAATCTAAAGACATTCAAATGACTTCTCTCTGAAACAGGGATAACACTTTATTTACCAGAGTACATATTTAAGGTAAGCTTGAGCTTACCCTGCACACACAGATGTCTATGTAATATTACTTAATAATTTCAGTCATGTGGAACAGACACATGGCAGCCTCTGACCCACAGGCACGCGCGCGCGCACACACACACACACACACCCTGGAAGAATGGCTCCAACAGATCCCAGGAACAACATCAGAGCTCTCTGTCCAGAACAGTACCGCTAAGATACTGCGCAGAACACTCAAATTCCCAGGCCTCTGGTAGAGGACCTGAGGTTGAGGAAGACACACACCACCCCATAGGGGTGAGAAAGGTACACATATATGAGCCTGTGTACATAGTCACAGTACATGTACATACACTGTATACATAAATCCTCCTTCACTGCAGTAAAAATAAAAAAAAATTAAAATTTCTCTGAGCTCCACTGGAATAAGTGACTGTTTATATATCAATAACACCAGAGCTTCCCCTGTTTCTGGCTTTGTATTTACTGTAGGACTGACTTTATCATCTTCACTGGGTGTATGCCTCACCATCCTCAAGTGTACTCTGGAACACGTGGTCTGACATGCGACTGGCTCCCATGGGCATGTAGGCCACAACGTAGAAGGTGTAGTTGCAAGCGGGCTCCAGGTCATCAATAATGTAGCGAGTCGTATCGTTTCCAATGACAATTTGATATTCCTCATTATTCAGTCCTGGACAAACACACGTTGTGAAAGGTGTTGAAATATTCAGTTTCATACTGATGGAAACCAAGTTAGAAGCACTTCTGAATGATAAACAATGGTTTTCAAAAAAAGCAATCTGTACTGTCTTGTGATAAATATGGATTTTCACATTTAGATAAACATTTCAGGAAGACGCAAAAAATTCGGACCATCAAAAAAAAAATAAATAAAAAGATAAGAACTAATGTGATAAATGTTTATTTTGCTGCTGAGATAAAACCATGCAACACCTTCTTGTGTGTATGTTTTCAAAACTGAATAAGTGCAGTCTAATCACCTGTGGAGATACAGTTTATGCCTATTCTCATTAAGTTAAAAAGCAAAATCAGAGAATGGTCCATACAACTTGTCCTTCCACAGGCGAAACACAGTTCTGCCTCTAGTTCCAAATCTTGAATGATCCTGTCATTACAAAATATTGTTCGGCTACAATTAAACCTCCTGTAGCTGGTATTGGAAACTGACGTTCATCTTCATGTTCACTTGCACTAGTATTTCAAATGACCTTCTGTGCAACAGATATTTAATTAGAATGGGTTAGAAAACTCACACAAAAGATGTACTTTAGCCCATGGGTGGGGTGGGGGGGCTACCTGGTCTGATTTCTGACCCAATAAACAAGCTACTTGGAAATAAACAAAAAAGCATTCTCCAGAGTCTGAATGACCCAGTAAGGCTCTATGAGGACTGTAACAAAGACTGCCTTCCTGTCCGATTCACACCCTCTCACTGTCCTCACAGAATACATACTTTTGGGCACTCCATCACAGGGGATAATTAGTTACTCCTTTCACTGGAGCCTCCACTTAGTGCCAAGTCTCCCCATCTACAACTTCAGGTGCAGGACATACTGTCTGATACTCTGTCAATGTCAATGAACAGCCAATTTCTGTGACTGGGACCGAGGAGACTGTGTCACTAAATCTAAATCAAGTGTTCAAAATCCCTGAAAGATGCCAGTTATTCAAGAACAGAACAGAGAGAATTTGTTCGACTTGTTCTTTTTATTTTGACCTGCTTATCCCTAACAAAATCCAGCAGGTGCTCCTTTTTTCCTAGCTGAATTCTGCACTTATCACCTTGACAAAAGAAGTCAGTGGCATTATAATTAAATGCAGTGTGTGAATGAACAAGCTGAGGTTTTTTTCTGAAATGCTATGTTGTCAACAGCAAGAGTTCCCAGGAAACTGAAAAGCGTCAAGGCTTTTCTGACTGCCACACTACAACCCTTGTGCTTTTTGTGAACACTTTTGTGTGTATCCTGCATTTTATCAGCCAAAAGGAAGGAATCCTGTATCTTGAAACTCCGTGGGGCTACGGTGTATAGACAACTATGCCCGTTTGTCAAGAACAAGCCATTGTTCTGCTTCATTTTGAAGAAGTACTCCTTCCACCACCACTGACAACACAAAGTTAGAGGACAAGAAGAGGTTACATTTAAATTCCTGACCTGCTACTTCCTCAGGCTACAAAGGTCTTATACAAAAAAATGTCTAAATGCTATTAACAGTTTCCCTCCAATTAAGAAAACATTGTCCGAGACCAGTGGTACCACCACTCACCTTCAGCCTTCATGTAGTGCACCGAGTAAGCAATAACTTTATCTGAGTTATACAGAGGCTTCTCCCAGGCCAGAAGGATGGCAGAGCTCGACACCGTATCAGCCCGAATATTCCTGGGAACACTCGGCCGGTCCTCTGACATCACCACAATGAGCCTCGCCATGGAGAGGACCGATCCTTGTTCGTTCTCGGCCTGGCACTGATAGATGGCATCATCCTCAGGGATGATCTGGTTGATCACCAGTTTGCTGTGGGACACACGCAGATGGCTTCATGCGTTTGACCAGGGCGTAGTGCTTCTATAATTACCTTTAACAAGCACTGAATAAGGAGCAGGAGCAAATAATCACAACCAACTAAAACCCCGTTTGCAATACTGTAAATTATTCATTTTATCATTCTACCATAGAAACATTATTTATTTAAAATGCTTTCAATTAGTCACTTGTAGGGGTCTCATCATTTGCCCAAGTTGATGCTCCTGCTCATTATCTCTTATTATGCATACAAGGCAAATAAATACATATGATGTGTCAGAAAATGAATTTACTGAATCACAGGAGTTATGCTGTAAATGAAAAGAGGAATACCTGTTGTACATCTTGATTCGACCATTGGAGTGCACTTTCTCTCCATTCTTGAGCCAGGTGATTCGAGGTGCTGGAACTCCGTCAGCCTGACACACAAAGCGGGCGGTGCCGGCTCGTGGGCGAGTCAGGCTCTCTGGCCACTCCACGAATGAGGGTGGTGCTTTGGAAGAACACCACCAATGAGAAATATGCATATGAAGTTTATGAATCATGAATTATCAATAGAAAATCCAAACTACTGTATACTAAGGTGCATATCTTTACCCAACACAGTGACATTGGCTGAGGCGACAGTATAGTTTCGCGTTCCAGGAGTGGTGGCTCTGCACATATAGACTCCTCCATGCTTGGGCTTAATGTCTGTGATAATGAGGTTTCCATTTCCCAGCACCTTGGTGTTGTAAACATCAATAGACTTGCTGTCCGCTCGGCTCCAGGAGATGATGGGTCGGGGATTGCCTGTGGCCATGCACTCCAGGATGGCACTCTGGTGCGGCGACACTGAAATGTTTTGTGGCCCGACGATGATACGCGGCCTCTCAGGAAGCTGGGGGCTTGGAGCTGAAGAGAGAAAGAGGAAGAGAGGGAGGAAGACAGCTTTAGTGCATGTGATTGTTGACTCAAGTAGCTAACTCTGTGCCGTTGCAAAAAGTAGCCTTTTAACAAACTATTGATCAGTCTACACCTGCCTGAGAGACACGAACCTTCCCCTTCTCATTCCTGATGGTTGTTTCCTTACTAATTTGTGCTGATGTCCTTTAAACCATACATTTGCTAACAGAGAACTTGGTGACGTACCCGGGGTGACAGTGAGGGTGGCCTCTGTGCTACGGCGGCGGCTGGCAATGTTAGTGGCGATGCAGCGGTAATTTCCAGCATCTGACCGCTGCACCCCGTAGATCTGAAGAACACCACTAGGCAGCACGGTGCTTCTAGATGAGAGACATACATAGATACAGTATGATACCACTTGTATTACTTAAGGTAATGAGCAATTACACATCAAATATTATAACAACTGATAATGGCTATGATCGGTTACAAATTAAATTTCATTTAAAAAATCTGCTTTTCAGTAAAAAGGGACAAAAGGATTTTCATGAATTTAACCTGAAACCAACAAAGTGCATACCTTTCAGTGATGAGGGGTAATGTGACCCGATTGAACTCCCAAGTGATGATGGGAGGAGGGTGGGCACTGATTTTACAGGAAAACCTGGCGACTGAGCCTTCAGTCACCACTATGGATGTCGGCTGGATTGCAAAAGACGAGATACCTGTGGCAAAACAGTACAAGAGACTTCTTAGACCTCTTGTGTTTGCAGGAATGTGATTTAACAATCTGTATTGCCAACGCCAAACCAAAAAGAATACTGCTTTATCAGGGTGGGATGTTACATACTGTTTACCAATAAATAGATGGCTTAATTTTTAGAAATGCTTCGACTGTTGCAACATTATAAACATCTCAGTAAAGACCATACTAAGAGCAGGAGCTCACTGCCACATTTGATTAGTAATAAATGATTCACTGCAAGACTGCAACACTATTCAACTCAGCACCATAATGAACATGAACATTTAGCAAATGGCAATAAAGGGAGCTTTACATTGTCATTCTTACTGAGAGAATCCTTCCCTGTTCATGTTTTAATCCCTTACATGTGGTCTTTTAAAGATAAAGTCAAAGGAAACTCCTTTCCCTTGAGGTGTTGTGAATGCTGGTTTTGCATTTCGTTCACTCACACCTTGTTTTGACAAAACTACCAACAAAGTCAGGGTTAGGAATAACCTCAAATCAGCGAGAAAATATACAAGAGTATTTGTTCCATAACATTATAAACCAAGCGTATGTAGCCATATCTTTAAAAAAAAAAGCAACCCAGAGGATGATTATCTTGTTACAGATAAAATCTCTTTACAGATGATCTGAATGACCCGTCTCATTTACAAACACAGTTGTGTTTTTCAGACATCTCAGCGGAGAGCAGAACACAGAGACACCTACTACCTGAAGCTACAGACCTAAGTCCTGCAGGTGATGACTGCCTTGGAACAGCTACGTCCTGTGTGGATAGGGTTTCCCTGAACCTGAGCTGGTGTCAGCCACCGGCTGAGCAGCAAGCAAGTCAGCCAACAGAAGTACATGCATTTTATAATGATTTAACTTGTTTTAGCCACAGAAGTACATGCGTTTTATAATGATTTAACTTGTTTTAGCCCTGTTTGTTAACAAATGCTCTCTTTGACACGGGTTTCTCCTGGGTGTTAAAAGTCCTAAAGCCGTTAAGGTCGCCTGGTGCTGTTCCATCCCCCCGTGCTCAAAAAGCAGAGGCCTGAGGTCAATCATTTGCTAAAAGAAATCAATTGCACTACTGTTCTGATAGAGAGCAAAAACATTAAAAATCACAGCACAACAACATTAAATTAATGATAAAATATTACATAATTCACAATTGAGGGATTAAGGTATGTTTCCAATGGGCTAGAAAAATAAAGTTGTGTAGCTACATTGACCTAAATTCCATTTTTTTTTTTTTCCAGCAAGTCATTTTCTGCATGTTTTCAGGATGGAAGTATCACCTCTTAAGTAATGGCCAAACAAACACAGTGGTGCTCTTTAACCTCCGTGCACATACCCAGAGGTTCTACTGTCACAATGAGCCATAAGCACTCAGCACAAAAGAAAGAGGAAGGAGCACGAAGCAAGTTAAAACCACATCTGTCACATAGTCAGTGCAAACAACACCCGAAATAATTCTATTCAGCCACAACCTTTTCCATATGCTGCACACAAACCACACACAGATACAGTGCATACGGTATGTGGACAACTATAATCTGGATAAATGTAACTAAATATATTAACCTCATGAAACCAAACAACCATAAACCTTCTTGACTTTTCTACCAACCCTGGTTCTTTGAACTCACTTGGATATGAGCATCCCCATAGAGACATACAACACCATACTGGTAACAGGAAATCCCTACACTGTCTATGAGCGGCCATCATGGGTGACTGCATGTAAGCAGTGTTGACAGGTGTGCTGGTGCTAAACAGCAGTAGAGCTCTGACCACCAAAATAAAACAAACATACAAGTTTTTACACAACTGACAGCAGCATGCCTCAAAAATCAACCTGACATTTGTAGAGGATAAGATATATAATTATGAATTTAGATGATTATATGATGATGATATTATATGATTATGATTTCCAAATATATAAGCATGAATTTAAATTACACTGCTTATTAAATACACAGATGACACTTTCTTTTCGTCTTGGACACATTTAATAAAATGTGAAATGGACAGAGGTATCCGCACCCCCACTCCCTGTGTTAATGCCATCAATGTGCTGACATATGGCCACAGGGCATGAAAGATGAGCTGAACTTATCTTCTGCCTTGCGTGTTCGCCTCTCCATTCAGTCGAACGATGCTGGATAGACAAACAGCATGATAATCACTGATTATTGATAAACTACTAAGACAAGTTTGAAAATCTATAGCTGCCAGGGTTTGTCGAGCACTGGCTGAAAACAGGAGGCTGACCTTCTGCTCCGAGTGATGATGTTTGCCAAAGGGCTTCTAATGTGCAGATGATATCAAGGCAAACATGTCAAGCTCTTTGTATTTGCTTTAATTCTATGTATTTGCTCATTCAGCCCTCTACTCCTCGTGTATTACTAAACTAATGGACAAAGGCAAAAATATTTAACTTTCACAATGAGTGCGTTTCCCATTTCTTTTAATGCAACAACATGTTTTAATATAAAACCCTTGGTCTTGCTTGCAATAGTATTTTGCCACCTTAAACATAGAATAAATACCTCAAGTCTATTCCACAAAAGCACAAAGAGCCAGTTCCGACCATCTGCCCTTCCAAGCAATGTCACCTCTCACCTCTCACCTCCACAAATCCTGGCAAGCACCCAACTCATACAGAGCCCTGCACTTCAAACCAGCACTGCTGCCCAGCAAACCGCCTACAAATCACTGACACTGCTCTCCAGTTGCACGGTTTTTAAATGTTGGTTTTGTAGCAGTATTCTTTTATTAAATATCAAAGACATATTCCAAATACAACAACACATGGAGTCTGGCTGCTGCAAGACATTACACCACAGACAGAACGGACTGCAAAATAATGAATTTAAAATCTGCCCCACACAGGATAGTGTTTTTCTCTCTCTCTCTCAATCAGCATAATTTTAATGCATAGAAGTGCTGACATGTTGATTCACAATGTTAAAACTAACTGCATCCTTGACTTAAAGTTGGAGCGATGTCCAGAGTTTCAAATTCAAAGCTGACAGAGTAAAGCTGCATTTGCCTCCCTTCAGCTTGCAACAGATGGGCCGGCTGATGCCAGCTCAAGCGATTGAAGGTCAGTGGACAGGTCAGGTCCAAACAAAGGTTCCCTTACAAATACCAGGAATTAGTTCAGCCCTCTCTCCTCTGGTTACTGTGGTCTGTCTCGAAAGCAAAAAGCCTGGCAACACTCGCAGTGTTCCAAGCAACTTTAATGCATAGATAAAAGGCCAACATGTTTTTGCATAAAGCCGTCATCAGGGTCTATCATAAACACACAAGAAGAAGATCCATAAATAAGATATTTATGAAACTTCTTGCTGTTTGAAGAAAACCTCCATATCCAAAGTCATTCTTCAGATCTTTATCTAGTCATTGACAGACAGCATAGTTTGGTGCCTAGTTTGCCGACAGAAGAAGTGTGTGTTCAGTTGCTCAGCTATATAGATGGCAACAAATCCCACAACCATCCCAATCCTTCCCCCAGGATCCAATCTTTTAGGCGACACATTAAAATTGATCACCCTGATCCTGCAGGGTACATGCTAAATTAATGGCCTTCAGCATCAGGAAGCTCATGAAAACCTGTCACTGAATCCCTAATACAAGCCTCAGAAGTTCTGCATGTACTCTTCTTATTGGTCAGATTCCTGTGGGAGTGCACCACATGGTTATACTAAAATAAGTTCACATTTACTATTTCTACAACTCCTACTGAAAACACAGCCATTTAACTGAGGTACAGGGCTGATAAGCAAGAAGTAAAAGAATGCAAAGCTGAAAAAGTCCACAGATCAATCACTAGCTGGTTGGCAGATGTGCTGCTGGTCCACACAGGCTGCAGGATAGTCAAGTGACCACTGCCTGGCTGAACAAAGACCTATTCCCATGAGCAGCGTAACTTCTCAAATCACAGACTGGGTGGTGGGGAGCACTCATCCCCTCCTCCAATCCCTTATCTCTGCCTCAAAGTTTTCCAATCATTCAACAGCAACAGACAGGGGTTTCATTGTTTTAAAATCTCCATATCAGCACATAAAGTTAAAGGCATCAGCGTGTTTAACAAGTGTTATTCTTTACTGTGGAGTATTAGGAAAATAAGATGATAGCAGATAGAAAAATAAGGATGAGATAATGATGCTCATGAAAATAAAAGCAGACCCACTGATGAGTAATGCAGAAACTGATAATAGTAGTAGAGCATAGAGTGTTATTGTAGGGCAGATTTAGGTTCTGTGCCTGGTCTCACTGCCCTCCATCTACTGAACAACTTTAAAAAAAAACCTTTGACCTCTGGGCCTGCCTTTCAGGGGGAACCATGGAAACCTTTTGTGTCCAGCAGAGGAGAAAAACAAGATAGATTTCTGGCTTCGAGTTGTCTCACTTAAGGGCATTTCATCCATTCACATCACCGCTCACCCTGAGCCAAGTTTGCTTTATTCTTGTTGGGATTTCTAATTGTACAGAACTGCTGAAAGTCAGATGCAGTCCTTAGCAACTTAAAAAATGCTGTGGTCCTGACCTGAACGCACCAGTGAGATAAATGGCCAGTATGTGCACTGTAGCAGTTCTTTTGAATACTTCCATTAATGCTTGTTCTGCTCTCAGCTTTAATAACCTGTGTGGGAATTCAAGTGAATGTCTCAAACAGTAACACCTGTATTTGTGAGACTAGCCTTTCTCCACACCAGAGCTGGAAAATTTTTTAATTTGTTAAAAAGACAGCACTGGTATTAAATCGGTGCTTAATACCCTGAGATGAGGTATTGGAAAGTGTATCAGGAGGAGACAAAATATTGCATTAGTGAACCCCTAAAAACGATTTATCTGGAAGACAGCTGCAAATTAAATGGTCACCACAAAACAAGCACCTGACTATCATCAAGCAGCAACAATATCTTAACCTTTATCCTAACCACTGTATCGTGTTGGCAGCATATGCAACAAGGTACTTTTTGTGGGTGATGCCAGATTAAAAATCAGTGCAGCAATCATAAATACAGCACACTCAATCAGTGGGAATATGACACACAATGTTATGTAACATAGTTGCCCTGTAAACAAAGCCAGTGGTGGATTACCCTCCAACACAGGCCCAAGCTTCTGTTTTCTACTAGAAACACCAGACATCTTCAGTTTCAAATGTCCCTGGAAATGCTGTTTTGTTTCCATTTGGTGCCATCTCCAGAAATGTCTCCAGATTTATTCTTGTGCTGCATCATTAATGTCACGGTACAACAGAGCATTACTGTAATTTTCTTAAACAATGAACATGCCTGAAACCATCCAGACTGCAACATATAAAAGTAAAATTTGAGATCTCTGGGGAGTTTTCACCATTGGACAGTGCCCAACTTACACCAACACAGGGATGAAAGCTGAGACACACTTGTAGAAGCTGATGATAATCTGATATGTTCCTTTGTTTTCATGTTTTATGTACCTGCAGCCAAACAGTGGAAGCAGCTGAAAAAACAAGGAAGTCAACTCAGACAATAATCTGTGTACTAAAATCCCCAACAACGTGAAGCCTACTGACAAAAGTCACATGATGAGGCTCCTTTCATCGAGGCCAAATCCCTTCACACCTTTGTGCTTTAGCAATCCAATGTTTAAGGTTAGCCTCCATCTATATCACATTCCTCAAAGAACAAGAAGCAAGTCCACAGGGCGAACATTTCTGTACCTGAGACATAACGTCCCTATGATCACTCTTACTTTTATTCACACAGAAGGAAACGGTAGCATGACTCTAGAAAACAAGAGGTACTGAGTCACCCCACATGTTGTACTGACCACCCTCCAGCTTATTCATTAACACGTGAAAAGACTACAGGACACAGTGAAACTTGGAACTAATTAAAATAAAAATAAATGATTTCATGGTCAGTCTTTCTCCAGTTAAAGTACATGAAGACAAATGACCACACATTGTCAAAATCTATGAGCAAACTTCCATGCAACAGCCAGGTGGTGCAAAGAAGGAAATCATGCTGCTTAATGAGACTTGCCACCCTGACTTTTCAATCAAACTGTAAACTTAGAATCAATCTCCAATCTTTAACTTTTACAATTAATGTAATTAGCTTTGCTGTGATGAACAGGTCTAGCTGTTCTCTCCACTGATAGCAGGACAAACAATTGCCTCCAAAGAAACCCTTTTCTTTTGTGAGCGTGTGTGTGTGTGTGTGTGACTCTTTCACCAAAGTAGTGAGGCAGAAAACAATTGTGTGCAAAGCCTTCAGCCCCTTCTGACCTAGTGGGGCCTGCAATAAAGTTTGGTCATTTAGACACTCAGGATAAGGCCACACTACTGGGAAACAGCAATTCACGTACGTGTGTGTGTGTGTGTGTGTGTGTGTGTGTGCGCGCGCGCACAAACCACTAGAAACAACCCCCACTGCTGCCTCTGTGTCCTTCAACAGAGCATTTCTCAGGTATGTGCAAATTTTATGAGCTTCCAGATAGACCCTCAAGGAGGTCTAAGTGCGATTTTAAAACAAACTAGTAAGCTCACTGGCAGCCTTGATCATCCCTTAAATTCTATAAAGCAGGTACACCACTCAATTCACAACAGATTCTTTTACTTTTGAGCAGAAGAAAACATCTGAGTTATTACTGGGATCTTTACCAAAGAACACTGAATATAAAGCTTCAGTACAAGTCACATAAACTAGCTCAAGAAACCCACTAGTTATGTAACTCACAATAATTGCACTTCATTTGTCTATGACGTTTCATTAAGCCAAAGTTTATTTCTATTATTTTGAAAGTATAAATAGGCAAATCATCAAAGTTCATCTTTACGAACTAACACTTTGCACCAACTACTTCCCAACATCAGCATCACACTGGAGGAACAGACTTCAAAATATCTAGAACTTTTTACACCATATCCATACTGCTTTGGACTTTTAATTTGTCATGTGTTTTCAATTACTCATTGTGTTTTTAGGATTGTTTTGCTGTGTTTGGCACTGTATTTTTAATGTGTGGATTGTTTTGCTTTGTTTTAAAAGGGTGACTGTTAAGAGTGTGAATGATGTGTATTGAGCATTATGATGAAGGGAGAACAGTGTCTCGCTTCCATATCTACTGAAAGTGTATGATGAAAGTGACAAATTATTGAATTGAATTGAAAAAAATTTTAAAAAATCTTTTCATTATGGGATTAAATGAAAACAAGGATTACAATCCCAGGACAACACAAGCAAAACAGCTATTTTCTACCTTGTTAAAAATAATATAAAATAAAATTGTAGCATTTTCATGGGTTGAAAGAAATGCCCGTTTTAGTACAGATAAAAGGGCAAAAGTGACACAGCAAAATGCATGGCCTGTAGGTGGGAGGAGGGGATACGAGGCCCCAAAAGACCAACTCTGCCTGAAGCTTCTCTACTCCCCCCTTTAAAATACGAGGCCAACTTGCACAGCACAAGAGGAGAAAGCATTCCGAAAGAACAATTCCTCAAACAATCAGTGTGCAACGACATGAAAGCCCTGGCCTGTGAATAGGGGTCATCTGCTCTTTAGCACTGGAGAACCAGTATCCTGGACCGCTGCTGACCTTTCAAAATTTCCTACTCCTTCATTTACATACCAATGGACATATTCCCCTTCCAAACAATATCTTATTTGGACTCAAACTTTGAAGACTTTGCACCTCCTCCTGCTGTCATCAAGGCTGCCCTGAATGCAACACTGAGCAGCAAAAGTCCTAATAAATTAAATAAACAATAATGTGTATCTGTTTAAATCTAATTTGATGATTCATGCAAAGAGGTCTGAATATCAAGTGATTTGCAAGACAATGGTAGCAAACGAGAAGAATACAAGACATCTGACTTCTTCTGTCACATCACATGACCTCCACACGTTTACTTTTCCAGTCTAATCCCAGCATGATACTCACTTGCGATTGTAAGACGGGCTTTCTGGCTCAGGATCGCTCCATATTTGTTCTGAGCAAGGCACTGATAGAACCCTTCATCTGATTTGTCTCCTCTTCTGCTCTCCACCTCTGAAATATATAGGGAGCCATTGGAGAGCAGGTACACCCGTTCATTCTCCACCACTGTCGCTCCATTCTTGAGCCACCTGACGTCGATCGGTGCTTCTCCATGTGCTTGACAGTCCAAAATAACGGCTTCTTTACGCATGACAGTGACATCATGGGGCTCCTTGATGAAAAATAACTCACTGAAACATAAAACACCTGTAGAAAGAGAGAATGAAAATGTCAGAAAAGCAAATGAGAAACAAAGGTTCTCATCAGGATGGTGCCTTGAGTCAGGGCAAAGGAGCACTGGTCAAACTTCTGTCTTAAAGTGCTTTAAAATATTAGCTGTGTCAGTGGTCACAGGTGTGACACAGCTTAGATTGTCCTACTAAGGTGAGATATCACATTTGAGCGACATGGCAGCAGGAGAGCGACTAGTTATCACACTGTACAGCAGCTTCTTAAAGTCTTTCTGCTCCGTTTTAACCAATTACTTAAGGCTCATGAAGTCACCAGCTGAAGGTGAAACAAGATTAAGGTGGGATTGTACCTAATAAACCGCTGCCTGAGTGTATGTTGCATATACTGGCCAGTTGGTGGAAAGTAACTAAGTACAGCTACTCTAGTACTACTTAGGTACAAATTTGAGTATTTCCATTTTCTGCTACTGTGCACTTCCACTTCACTACATTTCAAAGGTCAATACTGCTCTTTTTAATTCACTACATTTACCTGACACCTTCAGCTACTAGTTACCTTTTCCAGTGTAGTGAAAACCATCCATCTCTAAATTTGGTGGTTCAGGATATTAATGTTTCAGATAAATCAAACAGTTAATTGTTCCCTTAAAGGTTGAAAACATTCTCCTACACCTTAACAGAAATAAACTATATTTAAAAGTCTTGGAATGTTGCACACTGAACTACACATACGAAGTATAGGATATAAAGTACCAAGTTGAAATTAAAGTACAAGTAAAACAGTGCACGTTCTGTATAAACCTTTGTATACTTTTAAGCCATGCTAGTTAATACTTTTGTACTTAAGAGAAATTTTGAAAGCATGGTTTCTACTTGTAGCCAAAGATATCATTCAGCTACTTCTCCCACCAGTTTTTGTACCGAGTACTCTACACGGAGGGTATTTTTACACTGTGCTGCTACTTTTACTTTAAGGTCCGACTACTTTTTCTACCATTGTTAATGTCTGACAGTGAATATTATAAGAAATCGACAGTTGATTTCTTAATTTATTGCGGTTAATAACAAAGTTCAAAGCAGGTTAACCGGGTAGGCTAACTGGTTCATTCGTCTTTCGTGATAGTTAAATGTTTGATTGTTGTCAACTTAACCAGTTAATTAGCCGTTAACATTAGCGGTAAACTAGTTAACTACAAACTTACAGACCTCCTGCTCGTGTCCAAGCTCTACAGTCAATCAAACCTGGTTAGTTAGTGTTTTTACATTCTCACAAAAGCTCAGTAAAAACTCTTTACCTGAGACTGGGAGAAAAGCCACAAAGAACAGCAGACGCTGATAAAATCTCCTTCTGACAGGCGCCATTCACGTTAATTGTCGGTGCATGCTAGCTTCTCTGTCATAGCTGTTTCCTCCACACGGACTCGCTGCTACTGACGCGGAGCTGCTCGGTGCTGGGACACGCAGAAGGATAGTTTCCCTCCTCTGGGATGGACAGAGTCAATTAATCACGTCTCTAGGTCAGAATGAAGCTTTTAGCCCAGCGCCACCTAGCTGCAAGCCACAGACAAGGACCTCCTGTGCAAAACGTGTTACAATCTAATTTTCAGATCTTCAGTGCTTTATCTGGGGCATACCTGTTCTAACATTGTGTTTGATCAAGCTGGCTCGATTTTAAGTTATTAACAAAGTGAAAACCTCATGCAAGCTAGTGTCAGTGTCATGGGTGGATTACCAAAAGGGTTTAAGATACACAAAACAATGATAAAGAGACAAAATAATTGCAAACAGAGGAAAAATAGCAACTGCTGTGCTGTTGGCAGGCATCTTGGGTCCCTCTCAGTGCTCCTTTGTAGGAGGGGTGGGGCCCATTAATCTGATACTCCTGTCCGGGGCAAGATAGTGTCACTGCCGTGTGCGGATTACTGAACAGGACTGTTGGGCACTGGCTCAGGCAGTTTCTGTTTAATGTGATTGTTAATATTTCTTGTTGGAAAGTCAATTAAATTACTTGAAAAAGACTCAAAACTACTATAAAGAGAGACACAAACCTACTTTAAAGACTCAGAAAATGACAACAAATAGAGCAGAGTGATTACAAATAAACACAAAATGACCACAAAGACTACAAATACAACAACAAATAGATACAAAGGAACTCTGTGTAGACCTCTGTGATAAAAACAATGTCTGAGCAGCAGAGACGGGACTGGTCAGAACTGAGGGAAGGATGAATGCAGCTAAATACAGAGAGGTGTTTTACGAAAACCTGCCCCAGAGCGCAGAGACCTGAGACTGGGGCGACGGTTCACCTTTCAGCACCACAGTGACCTGAAGCACACACCTGAGACAAGGCAAAGACCACTCCAGACTTTGTGAAAGCTCATCTATGTCTGCATTACCGTGAACTAAACAGTGACAGATGAGAGAAGATCCAAATTCTCTCTACAGAGACAAAAAAGATGGAAATGAGTTTGGGCCGGGCAATTACAAAGAAGCACTGATAGGAGCAGAACAGCTGCTGTGTCAATGTCGATATTGATCCAATGTCCATCACTTATTGTGAAGAGAGAGATCAAACCTCCTCCCTCCCACGGTCCTCCCCCCTGCTCCCTCTGTGAACCTTTCTTCATCCCAGCTGTGATGCCCAGTCAGAAAAACCACAAAGTGCTGATTTAGTCACAGAAAGAGATTCAATACTTAAGCTTCAAGACTTATGCTTAAAATGCAACAGAAATATTACTGATGTTAACTGAATGTAAGACAATTATAAAACCCTGTTAACACATGTTTATGGTTTATTAAAACATAAAATACAGAGGATGCTATGTTTACACACACACACACACACACAATGGAGTGCCGATTTTTCCTGAATTTCTTTTGGGAAACGTGCGTAATTAGCTTGAATATAATCTAAATGAGGCATACCTTGAGTCAGATAAGTTACTTTAATTAAAACAAGTATTCATCCAAGTTAAATGTAGGATATTACAGTGTTATCCACATAAAGACATGTACAAAAAGATTTTAATGTGAATTAATACCTTGGTTAAAAAATTTTAAATTTGTACATTATCCGAATATTTATAAAAATCTAACTTTTAAAAAAAAGTAACACATGCTTTTAAAGTGACCCTCTCACATGCACACAGCTGATAATCACTTTGCTTTTTAGGGCTCCCTTTAAAGTACTGTATTTCATAAGCTATTCACTGACCGTAGCCTCAGTTTTAGGTTGTGGGCTCCTCTCTTACATAATATGAAGAAAGTGAAAGCCTGCCCTCATTCACGGTCAGCCAGGCTCTCCCCAGGGTGTTTCATTAATCAAGAATTCAGATTCAGCACCTGCCAGTGTGGCACAGTTTGTGGTTGGAGCAATGGCCAACCTGCATGTGAACTGGGGTCAAGCTCTGAGGCCAGATCAATAGAGTCAAGCCATTATCAGGTTATGAATGTTGGTGGGTAAAGGGGAACCAGCTTTCCCAAGACCTGCTGCCATTGACTGGGGGCTGTGTCTTCCTTGTACCACACATGCTCATCCCCACTGACCCCAGAAGTGTCCAAAAGAATGGTCTGAATCCTGCGTGACCTTTAGTGCCATAACGGGGATGGTAGAGAAATTAGGACTGTGGCTGTTCAGCTGAAAAGGTTCCCCCCTCAGAGAAGCTGAGACCTCTTCACACGCAGCTGTACGTATGAATGAGTTCCACATACTGTTTGTCAGCAAGAACACAGGAAATTAATATTTGACTAAAATTAAATTAGCTTGAGATAGAAACTGTCCTCCCAGCTCTGCTATGCAGTGAAATGTAGTTTGAAATAAACCCAACTAAACCCATGAAAAACAGCTGGACACAAAAAGCAGCTTTCAATTAGAAGAGTCAATGTTTCTCTGCCAATATGATCTGAAACAAACCTATTTTGTTTCTTGCCAAGTATAAAAGTTAAGGTAGACATGAAGACAATGGATCGCTGTATTAATATTTCTTTATTTTTGATATACATTTATATTACATTTGGTGTGCTACAGGTCATCAAATTGGTGTTTAACAGCTACAGATCATTACCCGTTGAGACTGTTATATATAGGTTGCATGTATGTTGCTGTAATGCACTTATATGTTGCTGTAATGCACTTATAGGTGTCAAGTAAACGCTAATAATAAAATCTGATGTTACAGAAATGAAGCTCTGTTCACAACAGCAAAACATGTATAACAGTACTTCCATTTAGAGATTAAAACATCAATAATCAAATTCTATAGTATATTACAAAGGCCTCAATTTAATTTTAAATATATGAGAAAGAAGAGAATGTGCTTATTTTCAGCAATGTTCACATGTAAACATTTAAACACATGTGCACTTGAAGCATAGGATCATGTTTTAAAAAGAGATTTTTAGCAGTCCACAGGTGACAGTTCGGCAAGATTCAGACAGTTCAGAAGTAAGACTATTGATATTAACAAAGTGCTTCACTTTATAAAAGCAAAAGTATAAAATTGTGTTGTCAGAGACAATAACAAGCCTGTGATATATTCCTTTTTCAACATCCTGTAAACATGGCAGTTAGTGTAAACACATTTTACCATTCAGAAAAGGTTACAACTACTGCGTAAGTACGGTTATTGATTAAAGTGATTAGAACAATCTGTACACATTTTGAGAACCAACAACAATTTGTAAAGTTGCACTCTTAAAAATAGAGCACTGTGCTGCAATTACACACCCATGAAGAGTAGGAGAAAACAAAATGGTGTCACACACTGATAAAGGCAAGAATTAAACCTACTTACTGTTTTCAAACTGTGCCAGGTCAGTTTGAAGGGTTCAATAAGCTACTGGAGATACAATATAATGTGAATAGACATTTATTTAAAGAGTCAGTGCGAGTAGCTACTGATCATAACTGAAAAACAAAAAGGTTGCATGATGTAGAGCTGCAATAGCAACCCATTTTTGGCCAATTTTACTACTTTGAGTGACTACAACAACTACAGCAGTTTAGCGGACTGTAGAAGGCCCTGGTAAACCTGATGTACAATATATTTATGTAATGTTTGAGAAAATGTCAATATGTAGTGTATAATTATGCATAGTATTTCAGCACAATCTAACACTGCATGTAGTCACTTCCTTGAATCTGTAAACCATACAGATACAAACTACAGTATAATTAGATTAGCCTTTTACTGGTCCTGATACTGGTACAACACTACTGGAACACTGGTGTAATCAATCAAACTTGTTTGTGTACTGCACATTTTTTTGCTATAAATGCTTTTGACATGCACATTATGCATTTGTGAATTTTGATGCATCAGCGTTTCGGATATTGGAATGAAACGTAAATATATTTTGTTTATAATTACCAATGTTTAAATAAAAAGGGACAAAATTGATTGTTTTATTTAAGTTGAATTACTAATTTAAATTCATGTTTTGCTGCTTAAAACTTCATATAAATCTGGAATAAACTCATTGCAACCTCTTGACATTTTCTTCCAGTTCAATCAATGTCATGTTTAAAAGGGATTTTAAACTCTTCACTGAACAGCGCTGGACACAAAACATGGGCCAAAGCTACGTTCATATTACAGCTGAAGTGACTCAAATTAGGCTTTTTTACTGACACAAACTAAATCAGCTTGTTTCAAATGAGACCTGGACCATTTCCATGTGGTCCCAGATCTAATTGGCCACTGTCAGAATGGTCAGAGCAGACTGGGATGTTGCATGTTTGTTGGACATTTACCTTATACCTACCTATACATTTTTAGTTTTTGGTCTTTTTCCTCTAGCACTTTTTAGTTTGTACCCTTTAAGGTTACACTCTGAACTCAAACTGCTTAAAAGCATCAATAAAGCTAAAAAAAAACAGAGGCGACCCCAAACTTTCGATCAGTAACATACATATATGAATGTGAACCATCAAGAAAAAATATCGGACCTGACAAAAATATTGGAATTGAGTTTTCAAGTCTGTAATGTGAACACAGCCCTAGTTTTTCCACTCATACAGCGAGCACCAAGACTTTCCTTATATTATACTTTAACTTGGTGACTTCACCATAATGTGCTTGACGATTCAAACTCATGGTCCAGCTTAACACCCCTAACATGTAGCGAAGTGAACAGGAGCAACAGAACTGGGTCTGATGGGAGAAGGCAATTCAGCCCCAATGAAGTGGTTTTCAAAGTTAGGTGTTTTTTGTTGTATAAAGCTTTGCATTCACATTAATAAATCTGTAATATTGCTGTTTCACAGAATCATGTTAAAATATTTAAAGCAAACAAATAGAAGTGAATACACTTTAGAGCAACATACAATGAAGAATCAAAAAATAAGAAAAAGAAAAAAGAAATCCTGATTTGTAAACATTAGAACACATGGAGTGATTAGATACCTCTGTCACTCCAGATTTATTATCCTTTCTCCACGTGTGCACCAACAGAGACTGTGTCACACAGCTGGCAGGTTAAGACCTGAGAGACTGATGCATGGCTCGTTTCTCTCATCAGCGTCTGACGGCAGCAAATAGCAACTCAGCTCATTCACCGCACCTGCATTAATCCACCCCGTCAAAGCCTTGTGCATTCTCAATGGCAATGTGAAGTTTCTCCCTCAGCTCCTCAAAGGACTCATAAGGAGGAAGGTCCAGCCGGTTGAAGCTTTAATAAGTGAAAGTGGAGACAAATTCAAGCTTTAAAGTAAAATCTAAGTAGGAGTCATAAAATAAACATTAGCAAGAAAACATCAAATGCTGTTTTAGATTTTTTAACAATTCTTAAAACTAGAGATTGTTGGGTAAAAGAAGATCCATCTTTCTAGCTATTCACTTCTCAAATTACTGAGTGAGAGCTTTAACTGCATCCAGCCACTAGAGGGCTTCCACCCACTGTTCTCAATGCATGCTGTTTTATACTAGTCCTTTTTTATCAGCTGCACAAAACAAGGTAAAGTCACAAAATCTCAAGTAAGCCAGGTGGACTTTTGTTTAGTGTGTCAATCAGTGCTAATATTCAACTCTGCAGTAATGTTGTCATATTGTTTCAACTTGTGAAGGCCATGGAGTACAGTAATATACCTTTTCTAATTATGCCTGCACAAATTATCATCAAGATATTGATGTTGTGCACACAAAATAAATAAAAAATGAAAAAGTTCATCTGAATCCTCTGCTCTCATTACAAACCTCACTGATAACCAACAATCGAACAACAAATTAGCAGCGGCTTTATCCTTTTAAATGTTTGCACACACTTTCAATAAATTAAAGAACAGCCCATCGTACACTGCTAAACATAACAGTACTAGGGGAAAAAAATAATCCAAGTGCTCACCACGTGTGGGCTCGAGGGAGTTTATCACGTGTTCCCCATTGCTCAATGGTGAACAGCTGTGGTCCATTAGACCCTGGAAAACAAACCATCAAACACCAGACAAGCAACATGACTTTAATTTACAAGAAAGACAAGTGGAGACAATGTGCTGTATACATTACAGAGGAAAAATAAGTGATGCACAGTGGACAAGGACACAAAGACAGTCCATTATCAAGGCACAACACAAAAACAGTTATTAGTGATGAATGGATACAGGACAGTAAACCCTTTCTAACACCACCACAGTTGGCAGTGTTAACTGCAGGTTATCTCACCATAGAGTTCAGCAAAGCCATTCATTGGGACCCTGGATGTTCCCGTCACAAACTGTAAGAGCCGGATTCGCTTTTCTGCATCCATCAACAGCACTGTCTATAACAACACAAACAAAAAACATACAGATAAACAACTCTCTTCCAGAAGGATAAAAAATGGGAGTCTATGCCACAGTGTATTGACTTCAGGCATGGAAAGTTGTCTTACTTTCCAGAACCACTGAATAACTACGTGGTTGGGGCAGTAGCCATTCTTGTACTTGGTGTTCTCTCTCCAGTCATTTACATCCACATCTCCAAGACCACACATGAGCAGCTGTGGAGGAAAAGACAACAGGTAGGCGGATCATTATTCATCTTTCTCGAAGGAGTCTGATCCTTTCCAACACATAAGATCAACAGAAAACTCACCTCAAGCTCATTCTCATCAAAGATCTTGATCAGATCTTGTGGTATCAACTCAAAGAATCCCTAAACACAAAAATGTGTCAATTTTTTATTTGATTTGTAAATTGTATGATGGCTAAATTATCTAAAAATGCACTAATATATATATATATAAACTGTTACCTCCTTGAAGGCAGTCATCTGCTTCTGTATCCTGTTCACAAACCTCCACTGAATTACCAGGCTGTCAAACACAAATCACAGATTAGCATGGCAGCAGTTCACAGATGGCGAAAAGTTTTTTTTCTTAAAAGAGAGGAACTCTGTTGCTTACTGGATGTATTCTCTCTTGTTTTCATTAGTTACAATAATCTCAGAGCCGCCTGGCTTCAGGTCATGCTGGTGAGTCTGGACAAAGTATTGGATAGGTTAGACAGAAAACCACTTATTGCAGATTGAAGGTGAGACAAGAGAAGACGCTGAGCAAACCTGTCCAAACAGCTCTTCATCAACAGCGAACCTCAAATCCAAGTCTGTTGGGTCGTTCTCCAAAATCCACATCAAGGAGTTAAAATATTCACTGTCCTGAAAATAAATTTGCGTATTTAACAGAATGAGAATGTTCTAGATAATCTGTAATATAAAAATCCTGATTCAATTTATTATTTTCTGTTGAAAAAAAGAAGCGGTAACTCACAACGGACTCCATGTCCTGGAGAATGATTGGCTTCTGCAGCATCATCTTGTAGAAAGGCCGGATGAAGAAAGCTTTGAAGAACACAAAGTTGTCAGGATCCGCAAAATCTGTTTGACCGCTGTCTTTTAAATATCTGAGCAACATTTATAAAGACATTTTCGGAAGCACTCACCATCGAGCAGTTTCCCATGATACACAGCCATGCCTCCCACACGGCCGATGAACTTGAAGTAGGACAGGTGGTCCTCATTACACAAACCTGAGTTAGGATTAATCTGCAGTGTGTAATTGTCCCTGAAAGACAAATCACATCATAAATATCATGAAACCACTTCTGCAAACACACATTTCTTAAAATCACTCTACCCAAATTCTTCTCAGTCTAGAGGGTCTAGTGAGACTCAAAACAAACTGACACCAGTAATTCTGTCAAATCCAGTAGAATGCGCTGGTCACTGCTAATGTGACACAAAGACATAAAGCTTGAATTACTCTGAAATTAAAATATTAATTCAGTACAAAGGGTCGCTAACATTACCAAAACAAACATGTTAGCTTTGGATGCCAACATATCCAAAAAGACTTTGATGCTGAGAGCTCCTCCATGGCTGGCTGTTTGAAATGAGCACTGGTGGTCCAAAAAGACATTTCTTATAACCTTCACTAGGTAGCAGGTGAGGCTAATTTACAGACCATACTTTGACAGCACAGGGTAGAGAAGCTGAAATAACAGAAAGGCTGTAGGCAGCACAGTGTTATGGAAACAGTTAGTACAGCTGAGAGACACCACGACCTGTCCCATTTTAACTTAATTTATCAAATGATGTATAAAATCTTAAATCAATGTACCTTAAAGATACAGCTTTTTTATGAGCTTTTACATTACCACTGACATGACTTAATTCTGTATTTTCTTTGATGGTCATCTCAAATATGCCAACAGCATTAAGTGCTCCCTGGAGATCCAACTCTCAATGGCACAGTTCGAAATGGAGAAGATGACCACATTTGTAAAGTAATACAGAGAAGCAGAGCATCTGCCTTTAAATATGGTCTGCCACTGTGTAATCAAAAATTTATCTTTCCAACAACAAATAAATGGGATGGAACATTTTCTTCCACATTTGAGTAGACCGTCAGTGAAGAGGATGTTCAGTCATGTGAAAAAATTAGGACACCCTTTGAAAGCATGTGTATTTTGTAACATGTTTTAATATATGGTTATTTAATCTCAATTTTAACAATACAGAGAGATTAAAGTAATACAACTAAACAAGTAAAACTGAAGAAAAGTCCTCTGACATCGGTCTGAGGGAATTTTATCCCACTCCTCAATGCAGAATTGTTTCAGCTGTGAGATGTTTGAGGGGTTTCTTGCATGTACAGCCCTTTTCAAGTCACCCCACAGCATCTCAATGGGATTCAGGTCTGGACTTTGACTCTGCCATTCCAGGACTCTCCATTTCTTCTTTTTCAGCCAGTCTTTGGTTGATTTACTAGTATGTTTTGGGTCATTGTCATGTTGCATGGTCCAGTTCCGCTTCAGCTTTAATTTTCTAACCGATGGTCTCACATGTTCTTCAAGCACCTTCTGATACACAGTAGAATTCATGGTGGATTCTATGATGGTGAGCTGACCAGGTCCTGCTGCAGCAAAGCAGCCCCAAACCATGACACTTCCACCTCCATGCTTCACAGTTGGTATGAGGTTCTTTTCCTGGAATGCTGTGTTTGGTTTACGCCAAACATGTCCTCTGCTCTGGTGTCCAAATAATTCAATTTTGGACTCATCTGTCCAACGAACATTATTCCAGAAGTCCTGGTCTTTGTCAACATTCTCTCTGGCAAATGTCAGTCTGGCCTTGATGTTTCTCTTAGAGAGCAAAGGTTTCCTCCTTGCACGCCTCCCATGCAAGTTAAACTTGTGCAGTCTCTTTCTGATTGTAGAGGCATGCACTTCTACATCAACAGTAGCCAGAGCCTGCTGTAGGTCTCGATGACATTTTAGGGTTTTTGGAGACCTCTTTTAGCATCTTGCGGTCTGCTCTTGGTGTGAACTTGCTGGGGCGACCAGACCTGGGCATGTTGGCAGTTGTTTTGAAAGCCCTCCACTTGTAGACTATCTTCCGGACAGTGGAATGGCTGATTTCAAAATCTTTTGAGATCTTTTTAAATCCTTTACCAGACTCATAGGCTGCTACAATGTTTTTTCTGAAGGCCTCTGACAGCTCTTTTGCTCTCACCATGGTGCTCACTCTCACTTCAACAGTCAGGAGCACACCAAACTAAATGTCTGAGGTTTAGATAGGGCAAGCCTCATTCAAAATGCTGAGTAACGATCTACTAATTATGTGCACCTGGTGTGATATACCTGCGGGTGATTTGAGCCATTTTAAGAGGGCATTCATGTGAGGGTGTGCTATCTTTTTCCTCAGTTAGAATAGGCATTTTTGTAGAATTACATTTACAGAAGATCTTGAAAAAACTTTTCTTGAGTTTTACTTGTTTAGTTGTATTACTTTAATCTCTCTGTATTATTAAAATTGAGATTAAATAACCATATATGAAAACATGTTATAAAATACACATGCTTTCAAAGGGTGTCCTAATTTTTTCACATGACTGTAGATCACTTGTTCTACCTCTGATTGCCTAGATCTTTATATTTACAGCTGGCTGACTTTAGCAAAAAATATATCAGCAATATATAAAACTACATCAGCAAAAAAACAAAACAAAATGCAGTACAACTTAAGACACCACAATGGATAGAGAAAGTTTTAAGCAGAGACAGCATTTGGACTCACGTGGCAGAATACTCGAACAATCCATAGTACGGGTTAAACATCTCCTTGGACATGAGGAAGAACCACTCCCTGGCCACGCCACCATAGTCCAGGCCTTTTTCTCCCTCAAATTCCACCCACAGTCGTGCTTTCAACAGATCTGTCTTCTTTACTGAGAGGATGCGTCGGTATGAGTCCTCCAGCACAGTATTTCGCTTCAGCTTCATCTCAAACCGGTTTGGGATGTCAGCCTACATTCAAATGTATTTAGAGTATATTCAAATGGCAATAAACACAGCATTTATAAAACCAAGGCTGAGAAACTGATATCAGATGCTGAAAGATTAATTTTATCAAATATTTGCAATGACATATTGTAAGCAATATTTGTCCTTTGAAGACACTCACCGGTTTCTTCATCTTCTTCCGGAAGTAGTCATACTTCTGTTTATAATCTCGGGAATAAGGCACAGCCTATAACAAAGAACGGTGTTCAGTGACAAACAAACCAGTCAACCTTAAGACCTAAGCTGTAGCTGATAATAAATATTTACAGGAACCCATAAACCATAAACAAAGAACTGTTTTTATTGTTCACTAATATCATGTTAGTGAAGAATAATCTATCAAACACAATATATACGCACTGGTCCAGTAATAGCTGAGTTCTGTAATCTGGGATCCTCCCATTGTGTGGTCCTGGTGTCTATGAAAAAAAACATCAGGTCATTTATTAATAAGGAAACACATTTATAATTACACATGAATCCAAGATGTGTTTTAGTATTAAATGTCATACGCACTGTGATCTATGTAGAATATCCTCCCATCAGTGTGGACCCTCTCCTCCCAGCCAGGCTAGGAACAAAGAAAGTAAGATGATAAATGCCTTTCAATTGATTAGTTAGGGTTTTTCTCTGACTGATGAACTTACGGGCAGAGGGCCAAGATCTTTAAGGTCGAGTGAGGATACTCTCCTTGGGTGCCCAGGCATTTTTACCCTGGGATCTTTCTACTCAGAGGAAAACAAAACAGGATGTGTTTCAGTCAAACAGGAAAAGCTTTTACGACAAAAAGTGGTGGAGAAACTACTGACTGATAATGACTCTGTTTTCCACAAAGTTTTCACCATGATGCTCATTAAAAAAAGGCCTATAGTGCATCCCCAAGAGTCACCACTTGGACGTAAAGGTAAACTAGAGGCACTCATCTGCTGCTTTCTCACCCAGGTAGTTGTCTTTGTGTTGTGGTCGATGAAAAAAGGTCTTCCACTGGGAGCACTTCGAACCTCCCAACCAGCCGGCAGGAAACCAGATTCAGAGCTTGAGGGTTGCTGAGGAGACTCTGTGGAGGGCACAGCTGGTTGGGATGGTGTGGTGTTTTGAGATAAACCTGCACCGGTCTGTGCTGCTGCCTCCAATGTTGTCTGTCCAAGACAAAAATACACCAGTAAGGTTTTAGATCCATAAGGGAAATACTGAACGAACACCACAGTGATATTTTTGGCCAATTTGAAGAAATTAGGTTTTAAAAGCTCCTTGTACTGTAAAGCAGTGGTCCCCAACCCCCGGGCCGCGGACCGGTACCGGTCCGTGGATCAATTGGTGCCGGGCCGCACAAGAAATTATTAATTATTTCCGTTTTATTTATTATCTGAGTATGAACGATCTTTTATTTTGAAAAATGACCGCATTCTCTCGGTTACATCTCGGTCACTTGAGCGCCAAAACTGGCTTACTTGTGCGACATATTCAGCCTGCTCAATGAACTCAATCTGTCACTTCAGGGGAAAATGACAACTGTCTTCAAGTTGGCAGATAAAGTAGCTGCATTTAAAGCCAAACTGGATTTGTGGGGACGACGCGTCAACAGAGGCATTTTGGACATGTTTAAAACATTAGCGGGGACTTTGGGTGAGACTGAGCCTGAGCCTTCATTCTCCCAGCTGGTGCACGATCACCTGTCTTTGCTTTTAAAAGAGTTCGAGCGCTACTTCCCAACCACAAAGGACCCACGAACTGCCAAGGAATGGATCCGCAACCCATTTGTCAACAAACCAGGTGAATCCAGCAGGTCTGTGCAAGAAGAAGATCAACTGCTGGAGATCGCAAATGACGGCGGCCTTAAAAGTATGTTCGAGACAACAACTCTGTCGGTGTTCTGGATTAAAGTCATGACAGAATACCCTGAGATCGCCACCACAGCACTGAAAACTGAGACTTTGATGTTATAGTCATGTTATGTTGGTGGCGCAATGTTACGAGGAAGCTGCTAATAAAGTTGCATACAAGTACACAGTGAATTCACATTTATTATTATATTTACAATATAAACAATCTACGCCCCCCCGGGCCGCAGTAAAATTGTCAAGCATTGACCGGTCAGCAGTGATAAAAAGGTTGGGGACCACTGCTGTAAAGTACCAGTATACATTAACACGAAGAAGAAAGCCCACTGTGTACCTGAATGACAGGTCGCGTCCATGTAGTGGTTCGTGTGTTGTGGTTGATGAAGTAGCGTCTTCCTTTACTGTCCCACTTCTCCTCCCAACCTGGAGGCAGCCCAGCTGTGGTTGGAAGCAGCTATCGACATAAAAATTTAATACAATGACCAATACTGAAAATCTCAAGCTCATTAAGATGTCCACAAATGAAATATATGACCCCACTAAAGATGTTTTTGCACATGAACTTCAGACAACATCCAACGAATCAGGTCTGGACAGTGAGTTTACCGTGTTTCCACTCACTGGTTTATGCAAGAGAGTGGGCTGGGGTGGGGTGGGGGGCTAGCTGGGTAGAGTGCACAAGAGGATGGAATTTAGTCATAAATAAGTAAACGAGTCTCTTGTTGATCCTTGAATATGCCTGATGAATTTTGTTGTCGGCCCTTAACGATAGAAGCTCCCGAATCTCGTTATGTTTCCGGCTAGATATTTTCAGTGGCATCTTCATTGCAAATATTCTTATGGTTTCACACCAGTCACGTAATAAAATGCCCACTAACTCAGTGTGAACTATCTGGACAATAAGCTTCTCTATTCAAAGATGAGGTCACTTGGACATCTGCATTCACACATACAGCTCCGGCAGGTAAAGTCTAGATAAATTTAGAGTTGCAATGCATGTCTGAAAAGAGCTTAAAACTATTTCTTAAATTCCATACCAAAGGAGAGTGAAAGAAGTCGTGACAATTAAAGAATGTGAATTTTGAACACCAACGTCTGTACTCAGAAAGAGCAACATTCCCTTGCATGACAACAGGTTTGATGAAGTTTAGGGAGGAGTGATTTCATCAGGGAAAGAAAACTCACCCCAGGATTAACAGGATGCTCCACTCCACTTTCTCTGCGACTGGAATGGCTTGAATTACTAGCATGATCCTGCGGCAGAGGCGAAGGATGTCAAACAACAATGATTACTTGGCTGTTAATGCACATGTACAGTACATTCCAACTCTCTCCATGATAGCTCATGGCTCATATTAATCTTATTACAAGTCTCTCTTCCACTGACTTTCAGAAAGCAGAACCTTGGACTGCACATAAAATGACTCACCGTCTGAGATGTGTGCCTTGAAACGCGAACGTCTCTCAGCTCATCGCAGAGTAAGTGGAAATCCGCAGGATTGTGGGGTGGAGGTGATGTGAGCTGGTTACCGCTGTGATACAAGGTGGACTCATCCTCTGTAATGATCTCCCAGCTCTAGAAGATGAGAGAGATGACGTTGGGGGGGACAGATCCCAGATCAGCTGTGCCCAATTGTTCAGTTTAAAAATAAAGCACTGTGACTTATGTTTTATAGAAGCCCTGTGAGTTCATTTGTTTACCGTTGATGAAAGTGGATTCCTCAAGTGTTTATGCCAAAGCCCTCAAAGAACAAGCCAGAACTACACTGTTACAACCACTTGTTCAGCACCTGGCTCCAACATGTGATCTACACAGCTAGGAGAACGCGCTACTCCAATCCCTCACCCGTTCACCAAAAGACCATCTCATATTCATTAATCTTTCAGCCTTGCTGTTGGTTTCTACCAACTTGGCTCTTTACCTGCAAATTAATATGTATTAAAGATGCAAACAAAAATGCATTAAAATCTTGACAATACCTCTGGAGACTCTCGTGTGGTGTTCTCTTCAGGGTCTGAGATCTGTCTGCGTGTAATAAACGCATGCTCCACTTCCGCATTGTTGTTCTGTCTTCTTTGAATCTCCAAATCCCTGTCCCTAATTAGGTGAGACACCGACACACATATGCATTGACATAATTTGGGGATGCACTTAAAAAAAAAAACTTTTGAGGACACCACAGCAAAGAGGTTTGTGGTCTTACTGCATTGTAGGTCGTTGCCACTGTGTTGTTCTGCTCTCGTGATTGACATAGTATATTCGTCCCAGGTTGTCCTGCCGCTCCTCCCAGCCAGGGGGCAGAGGAGGCAGACGTTGGCTTTGTCTGGGACCTGACATGTCCTGAGACTCAAGAAGCTCCCAACCAGGCTGCACAACATACACAAAGTGTTAATAGGCAACACTGCACACCAAAGAATAGCAAACACTGGATTTTGCAGTTACCTTTGTTTACCTTCAACTGAAAGTAAAGTTTATGAACTATTTTGTTTTATGCTCAAAATACTTAGAAAAGCACCTGTGAAATTTGAGGGGCTATCTAGTCACTGAAAACCATTAGTCAAACTTACATCCACGTCCTCGGTGTGATCTGCTCTTTCCTCCTCTGAACCTGAGCTTTTTGGCAAGTAGGTCATTTTGAGTCGCAGATGACCTTTGACCCTGGACTTGTGGCTGCATGACGACCAGAAATTTCAAACAAGCAAGAAATAAATACTGTCTGTAATATATAAAATTAAAGTACAGACTGTGGCCTATCATTTCTACTGTAAATAAACGTGTAAAAATGGAATGTAAAAAACAGGGAAAGACAAAAGATTAAATAACCATGAAATCATGCCAACCTTCGTGGGTGAAGCAGAAAATCCTTGAATGTGTATGGCCTGTCTCTATTAGGATTTTCTGTCTGAGAAAAACATTAAAAGGAAATCTTTAATTTGTCAAACACTTTCACAGCTGCATGAATTCATCTACTGCGTGGCAGTGCACCATTACACAGTTTATTTAAACATACCATCACATGAAATGATGCACATATACCATGAGGCCCATTTGTGGGTGTTGTATTTATGATAAAACAAAAGCAGGGATGAACATAAATGAGACACTGTGTTTTCAAAACTAGAGAAAATGATGCAGAACAGACAGTCACATGGTGACATGGGTGAGACAGAGGTCAAGGGCTCATACAGTAAAAGCTAAAGCTAAAAACTAAATACATTCAATAAAGTGAACTTAAAGAGGTCACAGGCATCAATATGCAAATCAAGGACTCACCGGTATCTGACTTAAGGGGACATCCACTTGGCCAAGAAAGTCATCACGTGTCTGACGGGGAGAGAGGGGGAGCCACATACAGATGTCAGGTTTATGACAATATTATCTTCTCCTCCTGTACACACACCCAGAGGACTGGCCTAGACACCGTCTAATCTCAACCATCTTTAGTGTATTGAGAACCACTGCAATTTCTCTGTGCAGTACTATGCAATTTCAGCTACTGTTTAATCTCTGTTATATCAAATATCACATAAGGCCTTTTTCTTGTGAAATGTCACAAGCAAGTTATTCTCATAAATCACATCAGTTAAGATCAGCACAAACATTCCACTATTTTCCAACTTGAAAAAATGATAGGTATACGACTTCATCAATTTCTATATTATGTGGTCTAGACAGGAAAGGTTTCATCCCACAGCAAATGGCAGCACTCATATTGCTAGAAGCTGTAAATATTATTATAGCATGTGTCAGTTAAATAGTCACAACATTCATTGCATGCCTTTATCACAACAGTTTCAAAGGCAGAAGGCAAATGTACTGCACTTTGAACAAATTAACACCAGCAGAAGGTCAAAGTGGCTAACAGCAGTACAGTCTTTACATCAATATATAGATGACACCCTCCTCCGTCCTGCCCTTGCACTTCACATAGGAAAAACCAAAATAAGCAGTTTAAGTCCAGCTCATATTAAAGGCTACAAACTGCTGCATGCAAGTCTTCCAGCAGACTAGTGCAGCATTTAAGGATTGCAATCATTTGAACCCCCTCAAAAATTCAAGTGACCAGAAAACCACCTAGTGGTCAAAAGAAGTTACCACAGGAATTTGATTGCTCAGGTCATGTGTAGAAATAAGCTTTAAAGTGTGTATACTAGTGTGTGTAGCTCAACAGGTAAAACAACAGATTTTTCAATTTATGGGCTCAATTCCCATGTCAAATGTAATATTACTGCCTCTCTTTAAGAGACAAATGACTTCAAATTTTCACAAGTTTTTGACTACACGTCAGTACAGTATGATTTCAACTTCAGAAATATCATGTCTCCAACACAAATTAAATGCTCTTGTTAATATAAAGAAAATGGGTATATTATGTAAAGCTGTCCAAATGTGTGAGAAGACAGTTGATGTGTTTCTGTGACATGTGCAGACACAGGAGAAGGGAAAATGGAGATAACTTATTCTTCATAACAATATTTGCTCCACATGTGTGGAAAATATACTTGTGTGACTGCAGGGGAGGGAGAAACTAAGGATTTTTAATTGGTCAGAAAATGAGGAAACAAACACTACAACAAATGATGATAGTGTATTATGTTCTCATACTGGGGATAATTTCAGTTTTGGTACTGATGATGTGGCAGTATTATAAATATAACTGAACCACAATGATGTCAAACACTACAAGCCCGTAGACTTTGCGAGCTTCACTGCTACCACTTACTGTACATCTCCAACATCCCAGAGACTCCGAAGCACTTTCTGAACCAGTAGCCCACTTCAAACATTAGCAATCATGTCACATTCTCTGACTGATACAAGCCTCGACATGAAGGTTCACTGTCCTGAGTACCTGACACATGCTTCCATTCTCTGGTTTTCAGTCAACCACCACTACTACAGACTACAAGTAATTTTCTTGATCTAGGAATAAAATTTGATACAAGTCTCTGAACTCTACTGAAGGGATGAGCACCACTCTTCCAAAAGATAATCCATCTTTTGGTGTCTTGATGATGGGGGTGGAGAAGCTGTCTAACACATAACTCCAAAATCTCCCATAGGTGCTCACAGTTGGGTTGAGATCTGATGAATGTGAAGGTCATAGTATATGATTCACACTCATCAAAACATTTCAGTGATCACTCGTGCCCTATGGATGGGGGCAGTGTCACTGTGGAAGAGACCATTCATTTATTCAGGTTTTTCCTTTAATTTATCACCTGTCAGTACATACACGCAATATCTAGAAGGATAACAATCATTTCAGTGTCACATTCACATCAGTTGTTGCAGTGATCAGATCCAACTTCAAATGAAACAACTATAAGCTCAGTAGATTTAATCTTACACATAACCCAGAGCATGTTATCCATTAATTCTGGAGCAACATTAATCAGTAGACTTTTACCAGTCTGCTCAGAAGCCAAACTAGACAGTCACCAACTAACTGGACAACTGGTTCCTCAATCAAATCAAAGATCAGCATTTCATAAAAGGTAATGCATAAACAGTTAAAGATCAATGCTGATGTCTGTCCCTGCTGTAGGTCACTTTTATATCAGTAACAAAAAGTTTAGTACAACATGAAACCTTGGTTCGTAGGGTGAGGTGACGCCAAGATCAACAAAGACAAAAAATACCCAAGATAAAATGATAACTATAAATCAATGTCCATTCAGAGCATCTCTGAAGGTTCATGTGACACTAAATGCAACTCGGTTTAGCATGTGGGATTAAGCTGTACTGACCACATGCTGTAGTAGGCCGTGACTGGCAAACAGCTACAGACACATTTCACTATCTATGGAGCAAGATCAGTGATATCCATCTTAGCTCTGCAATGACAAAGTACTTTTGACAGGTGGACAGAAACCTATACCTCTGAAGAGCTACCCACCTAATGCAGGCAGACGGTGTCTGATTATCCTGAACAGGATCTTACATGTCTGAGAAACCGTTCAATAAAACAAGTTGAGGCAATTTTTACTATGGCAAAGTCACTAAAGGAGCAAATGAAAGCTGGCTCATGATACTTCAACAGTCGTAAAAACTGATTAATCATGAAAACGTTAGGTCAAAAAATGGTTTAAGAAGCTGTTGTTTTCCAAGCATGAAATTATTTCGTATCACTGCAAGAGATCATCACACTATTTCCAATGTCCTGCCCTGCACTATTCATTTGTTATGCTGATGGGAAATGTATAAACAAAATATACTTATTTTAACTCCAAAAGGAAGGAGGAGGTCATGTTTTTCCTGACTACTGGCTGCATCCCAGTTTTAAGTCATTTAAAGCCTAAAAGTCAAGCTTGGGGTGGGGGGTGCAATTTCCTGGACTCATTTTATAATGGGTCAATGATCTCTCTAAACCACATGGTATCACTCTTGAGGAATTCCGACCTGAACTACATAATTCAGCTCATCCACCCCAACCACTGTGGGCAGCTGCATCAAGGCAAGAACACAGACTGGAAACACTTCACTTGAACCTCACGTAAGTAATTCAAGAGGCACCTTAACTGCACAACACAGGAACAAAGAGCTCAACTTAACAAAAAACTCACAAGTACAAAGGACCAATTCAGACTTAGCTTCAAGAAACCCACAGCAGTGGTGGCCAAATGAGCCTTTCCTGAAGCAATGAGGTTTTGCAGTCCATCATACTGCCACAAACTCATTACTTGAAGCTTCAAAGTTCACTGGTGACACCTATTGCTAGAACTAATTCCACAAACCAGCCGCCCAACCACACTCCCAAAAAGTTCAGGTTTCTTGGTCGATACAATCAACAAATCTAAAAAAACTGAAACAATCACACGATTCCCTGAAAATAATAAACATCGAGCCACTCTTCAGAGTCTCTGCATCAGATGTAACATCACTAACCCACAGGTTCCTCCTTGTAAGAAGCTTCACACTTGACTTCATGAAACCCAAAAGCAGTCCAAAAACTGTCCAAGTAAGCAACCAGGTCAGAAACCAATGACATGCAAGATAACCACCGTCTGTGAACAAGATGACAATCTGGTATGCAAAGATTAATTTATAGAAATCTAAACAACTCTGGCTGAATAAAATGTAACATATGCTTAAAATACTCTCAATATTTATAAAAGTGGCTCAAAAAGGGTCATAATACCAGCCATAATACCACTGAACAGAGATACCGTGACGAGAATGTCTCAGTGCTGGAAGAAGATGTTATGGGGGAACTGAAGGAAAACCTGAATTCCCCTAGATTTGATTGATAATTACTGTTTAATCAATGTTAATCAATGTTTAGTCAAGTGTTGTATTCAAAATATAGAGATATATGTTATAATTTTAAGGCATTGATAGTTTTGTGTAAAAGAAGTGTAATTCTGATGTTTAGTTAAAAGCAATGATGAGATTTTTTTTGTATTTCAATCAGATGTGAGTTTCCTGTACTTTTATTAAATATTAGGATGATTTAGTTTGCTAAGAAAAGAGTCTGAAGCTGAATCACAGTGGGGTGGAGGCCAGTTATGGGCAGTGGACTTGAGCTCTGACAGCAAAAGATATGCAACAATTCTGAAGAACATGACTTTCAACTATAAAGTTTAGGAGCTTTTTCTGTTTTGTAGTCTTTAGAAAACTTGGTGTAGTTTCTATTTCTACTGCTGAAAGTTTACATTTAATAGATTTTTCCTTCTTTTTATCTCAAATGATTTAATTACAAACACCACAGCCGTTTATTTTTTGTAGCTGATATGTACATCTTTTTAGGGCTGTTCGTAGGCATGAGATGATCTTATCCTCATCCCAGCTGACAATGGACGAAAGGCTGGGTGCACCCTCAACAGACTGCAAGTCTATCACTGGGCTGACACACACAGACAACCATTCACACTCACATTCACACAGTAACCTACGTCTTTGGACTGTGGGAGGAAACTGGAGCACGCGAAGGAAGCAGGCACAGGAGAAACATGCAAACTCTACTCAAACACCCCAGATGGATAGAAGGTTTAAACCCAGAACCTTCTTGCTGTGATGCGACAGTACCAACCTCTGCACCACCCATTGTGCTGCCAAGTATGAAAATATAATCTAGATTTACAAAAACAAATGTAACCTTTAAAGGAGTATATGGACTGGCTAATTCCTGGTGGTGACTTGACAAGCTTCTAAATGCAGGGACCAGGCTGACACCTGATACATCACAAACACTGCCTGGTAGGGGGACCCAAAGGGGAAGGGAACATGCTGCCCCTTTACTGGAAAAGGTTCAAGCGCTCATCCTGCCTACATTGCATGAACCCCACCCCCCACCCCATGTCCACAGATATCTGGCATGACTG